TTAGAGGCTTCGGGGACGTCGACCTCGCCGATGGCCAGGTTCCTGTCCTCTACATTCTTGGAGTTGGCACGAGTTGTTCTCACCATCTCGGATGGGTGTTTTTATGTTTGGTCGAGGGGGAGGGTTTCTTACTTGATTGTTCGACCTCTCAACGAGAGCACCAAATGATGGATTGTGTACCTGGGGGGTAGCTTATCCGAGGGGTTATTACGGGGAGTGATAAGAGAGAAGTCAGAGCAAGCAAGTATAGAGAGAGAAAGTATATTATAAAGTGTGGAGCGTTTTCAGCGTGGTTACAAATGGGGAAATGGGGTGCTATTTATAGTAGCAATAAATGCCGGACAGGGACACGTGTCAAGCGTTCATTGGCCGAGAGGTCACCTCAACTGGTTGGCGCTGACAACCGCATGTGGCCGCATTTAATGCGGCTGTTGGATGGGACGTTGTACAGGGTACGGTGATCTGTACGCATGTGGCGCGGATATCGTGTCGGAAGAGGTGCCCTCGGCTGTAGAGGACTGACCGAGGGCTCTGAGTACTGGGGACCCCCTTGGTGCCGAGGGCTACTGCTTTCCGCCGTTTTCCCAGTAGCCTTGTTTTTGCTGTGTTAGCCCTCCTGTGAGAGTTAGAGCCCTCGGCCAGGGGGCCGAAGGCACCCCTGGTGCGCATTGTGGGCTGCTTGGTACTCTGGGCGCTGTGATTTGGGCCTGTTGGGCCTTGATTGGAGTAGTAGGAGTTTGTGGGCCGGGGGTTCCCGGGCCATATACTCCATCAACAATAATATTATAATAATCTGTACGTCATTAATAAAGTACTACTTAAACTTAAAGCAATACATTAAATAAATATTCTTAGTTTAGTTATCGGAATTTGAGAATTATTCTCACAAATGATCAATTAAAGCATTGTGGAGCTCAATATGAGTGTCTTTGTCGTGAATTTGGTTATGTCGGCTAAGAAATTGAGTGAACTGTGTTGCCTCATCAACTGCCACTTCAACATTTAGAACTAGTGTATCTCTCACATCTTCAACAGGTGCATGTATATCACGTTAATTTTCTATTATCATATTATGCATAATAATACATGCACTCATTATGTCGTGTAAGACTTTTTCTCCCAAAAACGTGAAGGTCGTGTGATAGTTAATAATTTTAATTACTTGTTCTATAAGGATGTTTTTACTTGGACTGCAATTTGTCCCAGATCAGATCAGACCGGATTAGACCAAACTTGGGTAGTTATAAAAATACAAAGAATCCAGACCTGATCACATCAGTTCAGACCAGACCAAATCATACCAGACCAGAGCAGACCAACAAATTTTAGTCCAAGTAAAAACATTCTAATTTGTTGTTTTAAAAATGGGTCAAAACTATAACAATCAAAATTTTGGGTCACTTTTGAAATAAAAAAAATAAAAAAAGAGGATGGTGTGGGATTTGGTGTACACCATATGTGGCGTAAAGTCTACCCCTCTCACCCAAAATGGTGTAATGGTGTAAGATATGGTGTGGCTGTTGGTGCATTTTTTTTTGGCAAATCCACCATTTTAGTGTGAGATTTGGTGCTTGTTGGAGTTGCTCTTAGCTTGGAAGATCTTCATTGCCCACGCCACACATTAGCTGTGAGTCTTGTGACACCTAAGACATGATTTTTAACAGGTAATAATTTTAAAAATTTAAATTAATTAACTAGAAAATGACTCCGTAATAAATAATTTTAATAATTTGTTCTATGCCTCAATGTAGAAATGTGATACAAGGGCCAAACAAGAAAATATTCCATTTCATACTGACATATTTTACAAGCTTACTTTATTTTTTCAATATTTTTAGATAGAAGAATTTACATGGTTTGGTTTTTACATTATACTTCCTCCGTTCCATAAAAGTTGCAACATTGGAATTTCTGCACTATTCACACACCTTACTTTGACTACTATTTTCTAATAATATATATAATAAAAATATTATGTATAAAATATTAATAAATTTGTATTAATGTAAATTTCCGATATATTAACTTTTTTTAATGTTTACTAATACGTAAATAAATATAATTACAATCAAAGTTGTGCATTGGCAAACATGAAAGTCAAACTGTTGCAACTTTTATGGAACGGAGGATAGTACATGATAATGTAACTTATTGACATGCTTAAAGTTTTGATTTGGTTAGTCTTAAAATTTTATATAAGACCCCAAGCATGATAAATAAAAAATTAATGGAAAGATGAACTGACAGTTGGCTTCTGTTAAAGAGTTCTAGGGAGTGGTCTAAATGATACGGAGTAATAAATTCATCAAAAAGGTGTTTTTTGCTCCTAAATTTAGTTTAGTGTCTGATTTGTTCTTAGAATTTTACCTTAGTGGTCTAATTGCTCCTAAAATTAGCTTAGTGTCTTATTTGCTCTTAGAAGTTTACCTTAGTGGTCTAATTACTCCTTCTCCCTTGATATTATTTGCACCTAAAGTTAATCCAAGAACACCGGATTCAACTACCATTAGGATTGATCGAGTACACGTCCAAGTACCGAACTAATTGAATATGGTTTGACCTAGAATCATAATTTTCAAAACTTTAGTCATGTGAGTTGAGTGCATGTTCTACAAAAAAAAAGCGGATTAAATGCACCAAACTCCCTCGTGAAATATAAATTCAGTGCATTAGCCCATGTGATTTAAAAAATGCATCAAACCCCTTGTGTTTTAATTAATCATGTGTAAAAACCCCTTCAAGAACAAAATTTATAATTTTGAAATCACTTTTTTTAATAATATGGTTGAATATGCAAAAAACTTTGTCAAAATTTCTAAATTATACAAAAAACTAATCATTTTTCATATTTTTGGAAATTAAATTTGTTCTTGGAGGGGGTTTGCCGCATGATTAATTATAACATAGGGGGGTTTGACGCATTTTTTAAATCACAGGGGGGCTAGGCACTAAATTTATATTTCACGAGGGGGTTTGGTGCATTAAACCCCTTAGAACATGATAATTGAGGAATATAGTTTTTGCCACTTTTAGTCCTCCGATTATTATGTCATTGACATTTTTGATACTCGGTTTTGATTTTCTCCACTTTTAGTGCTCGACTATTGCGCTAGGGACACTTTTGGTACCTGTCTTTTAAAACTTTCATATTTAATTCTTTTTTATTTTCATACGAGTGACATTTTTTGTCCTTCAACTATTATAATAATGACACTTTTATTTTTTCACTTGTGGTGTCAAAATCATAGTGGAAGGATTAAAAATGTCAATTTGATAATACTCAGAGGACTAAAAGTGTCTCTAACACAATAATCGAGGACTAAAATTGGAAAAGTTAAAAGTTGAGTGTCAAAAGTGTCAATGACACGATAGTCGGATGATTGAAAATGAAAAAAACTCTTGAGGAATATTTTGTGTGTTTTGGTCTGAATATTTTTTATGGTTTTTAAATATGGTCATTTGGTTTGATGGTCTATTGATATATTTAAATCAATATTGTTTGGAAATGAAACTATTCTAATTATAAACATTCTTGACTTATTTGTAACTAGTCATTTCACTCTGTGTATTGCTCTCGGCTTGTTTTTCTTCATCATACTAGTATTAGATAATTTTGGAAGAATAATAACTACTCCCTCCGTCCCAATTTAATTTGCAAAATTTCTTATTTTGGTTGTCCCAAAATGATTTTTCACTTTCACTTTTAGGTATGTAAATAAAAATAAAGTGTCAAGTTTACCATTACTTTTACTTTTTTTCATTAACTTAAATACATCTACTTTTGGGAAGATGGATAAAAGTGTAAAAAGCAAGAATCATTTATTGTCACTTCTTAATCCTTGTGTCAGTCAAAGTTTGCAATTCAATTCGGGATGAGGCGAGTAATTTACATTGTAACATGTTCCGTAAAAAATATTAAATAAACTTGTAGAAACCCGTGTAATAAGATGGACAATTATTTAGATGCGCCAATACATGAATAACAAAATATATGTAAATCTCTCAATTTGCATTATTGACATTTTGATTTTATAACCCGGAATATACTTCTGGATATTTGACAAAAAAAGAAGAGAATTATACAAAAACTGAATATTGAAAGCAAAATGTTCCTTCACGAACGATGGGAAAAAGAGTCATCGTTGTTACTTGGACGAAGGGAGAACAATGAAAAGGAGTGAGAGAATGTGAATTGTATAAATTATTGTATTAAAACATGGTTGAACATATTGGTTTGGTTTTATTGTATCGGACAGTACCAACCGAACTAATCGGAACCGAATCATATGCAATTTGGTGTGAGTTTGGTAGCATTTCTTCCAAAACATATTAAACAGAACTAAAACCATGAAAAACTGAATAAACCCAAATCAAACTAAAGATAGTATGATTTTTGTGTAGTAATCATTATTCTAATCCATTTTAAATGGAGTCGAACCTAAAATTGATAAAAACCAAACCTAGTATACCAACCGATGGATAGTCTACCCGGGGGGTTCCCGAGCCATATACTCCATCACCAACCTCTAATTAAAAGGATAGAGAATGATATTGTTGTAACTTATAAAATGTTGTAACTTATAAATTAGTTTAATGCATACATGAAAGGGAAATGATACCGGAGAAGATTATATTTCTTAATGTATAGAGTTCTTATTTAAGCTTAATCTTCCATAAGAACAATAAATACTCCGCATCATTCGTATGAAAGCAATAATCAGTGTAATATGATTATATAGGCTATTATTTTTAAAGCTATTATTTTTTAAGTTTTTGAATTTAAAAAATCCACCATGATCTATGTATTACACCTGTTGAGTTTGATAACTTTTATTTTTGGTTATCAATTTTACACTTCCATCATTTCATTAAATATGTGACCTTTTATTTAATGCGTTCAATTGATTGCAGTTATAGCAGATAATCAATTTAGTTACTTTGAAATTGATTCTGTTTCTGCTTCTTTTTTAAAGCAAAATCAAAGTGGAATCAATTTTCAATCACACTCATCTTCTAAAAGCTAACCTTAGAAGACCAAATTAGAGCACTAGAATGCAAGGTACGCTTTCACCGGAAGAAGTTAAGGTATGGAAAAGATGTTAAGAACTTCTGTTCCCTCCCAGTTTTCCAGAAACCCCCTTATTTAACAAAACCCGTTCCCTTATCAGTCTTCCCTTCTACTGCCGTCCGGACAGTATATTTCAATCACAGTTCAATCTGCCGCGGAAATGGAGTTGAGTGGTATAACCACTTAAGCCCCCTTTCATTCACCATTTTTTTTCAATATTCTACAAATTTAATTGTTTTCTTGTTTACTCATCGCTTTGAATTTAATATACGTTTCTGCGAAATTTCCTGATCAGCGCACAGAGGTTCTAACCCTAAAGCCGTGCTTTCTTCTATCATGAACAAGAGACAGAAGCTTCAAGAAGAGCTCCGGAATATTGAGAAACAGGTTAACTTTTCACTCTTTTAACAATCTCTGAGGTTTTGTCTGTTGATGTTTTTATTCTTGGATAATAGTACGATAGAAGTTCTTAACAATCTTTTCACTCTTTTAACAATCTGTGAGGATTTGTCAGTCCGCCTTTCTTGTTGTTTCAATTAACGGTTAAATACATGTATAAATAAGAATCTGGTTTACTTAATAGCACAGGCTGATTATAAGGATTTGTGGGGCTTTAGTTTCTTTCCTGTGAAGTCTGCTTTGTCTAACTAGCATGATGCTGGATTTATGGAAATTTATTGTTGCAGGTATATGATTTAGAGACAACTTATTTGCAAGAAACTGGAGCCTTCGGGAATGCATTGAGAGGCTTTGAAGGATTTTTATCGTCATCAAATAAAAGTTCAAGGTATGGAACATTTGCTTAATCTTCCTTATACTGAGTTTAATATTTGTCATTTCAATGATTTGTTAAGGTTTAATTCTACGCTAATTGTAAACACCTTTGTGAACCAACAACATACCTGAAAGCTATTTATTAAACACAGAGTACAGATTAACTAATTCCTATGCACCTATAAATTATTATTACTGATAAGGTTCAGATCATCGCATAAGAGTTTAAAACCCAACTATATAATAATCCTCAAACGTCACACAAATTTATCATGTAATTAATGCTTTCATCGTAATTCTACAATCCAAGCATCATAAAGAATAACCAAAGCACATCCCAATGTCATAATTTGTAAAACATTATATAGATATGAATCATGCATAAAGTGATAAAACTTTCAAAGCCACTGATGTGATTATCAGTTTTTACGTTGGACATTGCTTTATGATTGCACATAGACATAGTCCATACTGGGATAGATTTGTGAATTTGATTATAGTTATGGATACAATAAGCTAATAATCCTATCAATAACCTACTTAAACTACTGATGTTTTTAGTATTATTCTTATCTCTTATACTTCCAAAATCCTTGTACTGAAGTGCAAATGTTTCATTGTTTGGACATCAGAAAATTGAATATCCCAAAAAAACCTTCGGATTGGTCTAACTTTGGTAGGGGGTGCTTTATTTTTTAAGGGTGTAGAGATAACGTATGCTCAATGATTTTGAAAAATTATTGTTATTCCATTATTGGTGTTTAAATGTGATTCAATTGTTTTTTAGCTGTTAAATATTTTTTAAGGGTACATAATGTATGCTCAATTGTTCTTTAGTTGTTAGATATATGGTGCTTTGATCATTTAGATTGTTCTGATGCCATTTCCTAGCCTGAAGAGATCAAGAAAATTTCAACTTGAAGATCGATTGTTTTCACTGTCCTCAGTCACTTCACCAGCGGTAGGTATTATTGTATTAAATCGATAAACATAAGATTTTATCTATTACAAGATGTTATGTCAATGTACAATGAACCGATTCTTGCGAATCCTGAGCAACATTCTGCAACTTCTTTTACTTAAAGGGTCATCCTAGGTGTCATTAGAAATAATGTTATTAAAGATGAGCCAGCAATAAGTTAACCCACAAATTTATTTATGTTTTGTTCAAATGGGGTCAACCATGCGTTCCATGGCTTGATCACGAGTTAATATCTAACTGAGTAAGATGTTTATATATTTTTAACATCCATAATTGCATTGCCTCCATTCTCAAATATAGGTCTATTGAAGGTCGATTTTATGGTGGTAGAGTATTTTTATTATAAATCCACAAACATCCCTTATTGATGTATGAGAAGTTATGTAATTAGAAGTAAAATGGGTTTTTTTAGCAACAAAAAACCAAATTTTATTAAAAAGATTGATAGCAATACATGCACTAATGAAAGAAGAAAGTTAAAGCAAAAAAGAATAAACTAAGCTAAAGAAAGCAAACTAAGCTAAAGATTAAGCTTTCAAGCGCAATTGTGATCTAGTTTTCATAGAGGAAGCCTGAATATCCAGTTTTTTCTTGTTACACAGACAAATAACTGGAGTGAAAGAACCATCTTCATTGACCTCACTTAAATCATTTTGTTCAACTAAAGCGGGAGAAGTCACTGAAACCATTGATGAAGAAAGAGCAACACTTTGAGCCAAAGTTTGAGGTTTCATCCTTTTGTCTAAACTTATATGATCTGCCTTGAATTGGGTGATAAGATCTTGGAGAGAAGGATAGAAAATAATAGTCGACTTAGAGGTCCTACCCGCATACTTCCGCTTGGAAAAAACATTTATATTCTCTTTCACGTTCATCTTGGAGCATGTAGCTTGTTCCCTCGATGCATCAGAAGAAGAAATCAAATCAGTCGATGAAGACATATCTAGAGTGATTGTCGAAGGAGAAAAACCTTGAATATCAGTCTGAAAAAGAATCCCAGAGATCGAAAAATTGTTATTGTTACCAACCCTATCAAGATCCGACATCAAACCCGGTACAAATTTCATTGGTTCTAAAAAACCTTTCAACAAATTAATGACTCTCAATAATCCTGCCAAGAAATCCCTGAAGCCTGATCCATTTCTTCCTTAACAAAAATAGAGTCAATCCCTTTGTCAATGATCCGAATAAAACCACCATAAGAATTTGAATCGAAGAGAATTATAAAGTTGCCTAACTCAAATCTAGAATTCACCCAATATTCCAAGGAAATTTTAAGAATAGAATCTCTTAGCCATAGTAAATTATCGAGATCAAACAAAATTGAAGAAATAAAGCCGGATTTGACCTCGGATATACGAACATATTTGTCAAAGCAATCAAAAAGAAGTTTTTTGCTTTCAATAATAAGGCCAAACTCCGAAGAAGGATTCCAGCCCGCAACTTCCACCTCCGGATGCTTCAAATCAGTTTGCTCTGTCAGTTGAGTCCCTCTGTTGCGGGTATGAACACTTGCAATAGCCCTGGGAGCATGAATCTGTTCGCCCTTTTGGCCAAGAACTCCAGTCTGGCTTGCGAGCTCCAAACGGAGAGCTGAGAGATGCCCAATGTTTCTGTCCAATAGCATCGCCCCTGAGGAGTGGCCGTCTACTCCGCACGTTGTGCTGCAATGGATACCGCCTTGCCTGGTCGTCTAATCCGGGGTCTGCTCTGTATCATGTCTCCCGTCGCCATGGATTATGCTCCCCTTTCCAAAGAGGAAGACAACCCCATCTCCGGTCGCTGAGGATTGCGTACCCCTTTCCATTCTCTCAGAAATGTATCGATGTCCCTTCCAAGCTATCAGATCGGCCGCGCCATCGCAGAGTGCGGGAGAATCGCGAGGGTCTCCAAGTTTTAGATTTCAGGCGATCGATCGGGGGTTGCCAATCCCTAAACCCCTGAGCCGCCATCCCCCTCATTCATCGATTGAGGGTCTCCGCCAGTAAAAATGGGTCATATGCAGTTATGCACACATAGGATTGTTTTTGTATTGTGTTACAAATAAGACTCGATTTGTTCTAAAAGGAATAAAAGTGGCTAATAGTTTTCCTTCTATGAGACAATGATTGAATGATTCGTATTTCAGGATAATTGATGATGTTTTGTTTGAAGAGAAGTGATCTATGTTTTAAATGTAACAAGCAAAATTGAAAAGAATATGAGAGGTCAACTTAGTGAATTGAATATATTTTACTTCATTGGGTGTCAAAATGGCCTCTCATTCTTTTAAAAAGGCATTTATTTAATAAATGCCTTTTAAATAATGGAGGGAGTGTATCCACACCAGTATGGACTATGGCTATGTGCAATCATAAAACAATATCCAACGTACAAACTGATAATCAGTGTGAAATAATTAATATTAAAATAAGAGAGTTAGCAAAAATAATATTAAGTTAGTCAATTTTTCCTTTTTATATTTTTTATTTTTTAATGTGGTTTCTTAAGCTTACAACTAGGTACATTTCATCAACAATTTTCTTTATCCAAATTTTCAAAGAACCACAGACTTGCACCATTTTCAGACGACTAGTTTGCATTTCTAGTATTCACATAAACAGCCATGGCTAAAGTCAGATGTGGTTTTCGTTGAAGTGGGAAAATGATTTCTAGTTTTCTACACAAGTGTATGACACATATAGATCAGTTATTGGTGCTCTGAAGCATCTCTTGCTTTGGAGCTTCGACTTGTTGTTGTTGCCTGTTCTGCCCTCACATTTTTTGCAATGCAAGCAATGCTTTTTTTCAGTTTGACTAATAATATAGAAACTCCCCCAAACAAATGTACATAAGCTTTGTAGTTTCCTTAACATGCTATCGTCTTTGTTTGGAACAAGATTGGTGTAGATTGTTAGAGATGACGACACTGTGATTTAATTACCCATAACCCACATGCAGCGACAAAGCTGGAATCTTTTGTTTCATGTAGTTATATGGTGTTGAGGATCTACTTTTTCCATTTTGCAACGGATCTTATTACAAATTTCAAATTTGTTTCAGGACTGAAGGAAAGATTAATGTGTGCTAAATGTTAAAAAGACATTTTTTTTAGCTTAATAGTAAACCAAATTTCTAGAAGAGTTGCCCATAGCACCTGTTGGATTTTGGTTAGTGTTGACTCAACATAAAGCCCTTGAGTTGACTGAAATGCAGGGATACTAAAGATCACAATGAGGATTGCTAAAACGATAATAGAATGCTCAAGGATAGTAATAATATACTACCTCCATCCCCTAAAAAACTTCCGACTTTCCTTTTATGGATGCCCTAAATAAAGTCCTCTTTCCCTATTTGGTAAATAAATTTATATCAATTTACTCTATACTCTTAAATAATAATAACAGCACAGTGTGGAATAGTGTCAAAACAGTAAAATTTACCGTCGTCATAGTTAAAGGGGCGTTTCACGATGTCAAAAGGAAAAAGAAAAAGTATTTCCTTAAAATGCATGCAATTCAAACCGGGAAGATTAAATAGGGACAGAGGGGGTGTTTCATATGGTAAAAGATGATCCCTTACAAGTGTGTCTGTCGGTTAATTTATAGTGTGAAGCCTAATGGTTAAAAAGCTTTAATTACAATATTAAATACGGGTATTGAATATGAATTATTTAATTATAATACTCTTTCCGGCCAAAGCTGACTTGCATGTAGAATAATAATGTGAAAAGTGTGTGGTTGAGATTTGTGCACAAGACAGAGAAATATTTTTAGCCACTTTTTTATTACTATAAATAGAAATGACAAAGTCTTTATAGATGGCTCATTTTCATTTTCATTTACCCCAGTACCGCAAAGGCTCCCACCTACGGTGGGGTAAGGGGGGGTCGGATGTACGCAGTCTTACCCCTGTACTAAAGCACAGAGAGACTGTTTCCGGATAACCCATAGTGAAAATCCCATCCAAAATTGCATGGACCGACTGCTTCATAACAAAGAATCGCGGACAGTTTAGTGAGCCATTTTGCTTTATTCCATCATAATCTCAAGCCAAAAAATAATGAATCTTTAGCTTCATTGCAAATGATGGAAAACTTTATAGATGGCCAAAAAAAGCAAATTTGACAAAGTTTTGTGGGATAGAGGGAGTGATATTTTCCATTAATGAGAGCAGGCTGTCCCTGAGATGACCTTGGGCTCTCTGGACCGAGCCCTAACCGCTAGGTTCCTCCCAGTACAGTTGACTGAACAGTGACCTTTCGGCTGCTCAGTTGACCATCCGGTATCGAGTAAATATTCTCCATCAGCACGACAGCACCCACAGTTAGATCTTTCCTTTTTTCTCATTAAAGGTTCAATTAAGGACTATTTTATGAGGGGGTTGGTTGAATTTATCCTTTTCATGTCAATTATTATAAAATCAAATGAGACGTCTGTATTAAATAAAATAGTATGTTTTATTTGCATATACATGAATATATGAATGAATCTTGAAAAGATTACTTCCTTTGTAAAATACTGCTCTTGCTTGTAGCTATGTTGCTGCTATGTAAAGTTTAGTCCTTGTTTGGTCTGGAGATTTTCAAGGGGTAGAAGTGCAGGTATTATATATATGGGGGGGGGGGGGGGGGTCAAATAAAAAATACTCCATCCGTCCCTCAAAACTTTGCCAACTTTCCATTTTTGGATGTCCCGCTAACTTTGTCACTTCCCCTTTTAAGTAAAGAATTTGTTGTTCCAGTTAATTTTCTCTTTGCACAAACCTCAACCGCACATTTTTTACTTTATTAATTCTCGTACCGGCCAAACTTGACAAAGTTTTAAGAGACGGAGGGAGTATGTATAAAGTGTGAACCTTAGGATTGCACCTTTACCCTACTAGATTGCACTTCTATGTTGAACTAATGCACTTTTCATGTTAAAAATAGTTTATTTACTTCAAAAATGTGTTGACAATTCTATAAAATGTGAAATTTTTTCCATCGCAGAAAGTGCAATACTTTGACATAAATGTGCAACAATGTGGTGTAGAAGTGCAATTTCCACGTTAAGAATTTTTTTATTTGAACCCAAATATATATATGTGTGTGACTGTGTGTATATATATCAAGTTCATTCTTATATTTGGATCATCGGAAATAAAGTTAAGATCGCGAAATATATATAAATACATGACTTAACTAAACATTTGACTATTTGAGTAGTTGTTTTAGAATAAGACTACAACAACAACTACCAAGCCTTATTACCAAAAGATTTTGGGGTCGGCTAACATGTATCGATCCATGATTCGATTCATGTCATATGATGTGACAAATTGATACCGTTGGCCGTCATGCTCCTACCAAAGCACCCTCCTCCTTTATCCTGACTTGGGACATGCATGATACCAAAAAATGATCTCATGGCAGAGTTATAGTAAGACTAACAAATAAAAATATATATAAGTAAAACAATTTTTTTTTGTAGTAGGGGTTGAAGCTCTAAACCAAATAAGGCTTGAAGTAGTAGGGGTTAGCCTTTTATTTCATAAGCCGCACCAAGTGCTACTTTTTCATATTTGCTATAAATATGTTCTAATTATACGGCTTGGACCATGTTATCAGGCTTAGTTACTGGGCCTGATGTGACTCTTCTCTTCGCTTGTGTCAGGCTGAAGAGCTTGGACTTGGGCGAGAAGGTTAGTTTTTATGTTTTTTTTAACATAAAGCATTTTTTCAGTGGCAAAATTATATCCCCCACGACATCCGTTTTAGTTTTGTTTTATTTTAAATAGAGTCCACACTTATAAAATCCTTCGACAATTTGGTTTGTTCTTTTGCTGCCCGTTTACAGAGGGAAAAGTGGATCATGGTCAAGGTCGTTTTAAGGCAGGAGGCATGACAATAAATGGACAGTAAGTACACCTTTCATTCTTAAATATTCAATGAGAATTTTCTGTATGGTCTTCAGGCGGAAATATTTCATATAAAGGTGTTCAATTTCCTTATCTGCCTGATATTGCTTTTACTCTGTCTCAAGTATTGTGATTGACTGGTTGTCATTCTTGCTATAGGGGGAAACCCAAAAAAGGAAGAACAGTGCAGAGAGATATAAAGAAAGTCAGGGGTTCTAATGACTTGGATGTTGATGATGATGATGATCCGGACATGATGAGTTTGAGATGAGCTATTCTCTCTTTTGAAATTATGGCATTTTAACTTCTCTATAGCATGTGTTGTGCCATGTTAAGCATGCATGAACACCGATTGTTGGTGACATGTTTTAAACTTTGGCAACGTATGATATATATCAATTGCTTTAACTTTTTATGTATTACTTGTTGCATCACAACCGTCAATCTAGGAGTGTATATTGTGTGTAATGTGTCATGTGTGCACAGTACTTCTAATTCACAATGATAAAATAAACAATTTTGGATGCAAAATAGGAAAATATCCAAACAAATAAAGAAATAGCTGGTTGTAAATTTATTCCTTGGTGTAGGCCTTTAGGGTACATTTTGCCTTGATGATAAAAATTAAGAGCCCTTCTGGTAAATGATAAATTTGGCCTCAATGATTGAAGATGCAAAATTTGCTGATTTAGCATGTGAACTGTGAAGTGAAATAGTCTGAAATTGTTTCTCAATTTCTTTGTCCTATAAAATTAGGGTATTTGACAAAACAGGGTAGATTTCCTGCAGACCATTCCAAAAAGTGTAGAAGTGCCCGGATTACTAAATGTCATACCTTGTAGAAGTTTTGGGAGTTTGTTGTACGTTGCCTCCCAATTACCAAACTGTTTCTCTAATGCCAAGTTTCGATCATACCATGCTTTCTTGTAACCCACATGGATGTTGAACTTGTGATGTATGTCATGCATGGTGAACTTTATACTATAATTGGGCTTAAGAAAAAACTTGGAGCCTATTTCAGAGGCATTTAACTTACTTGTGAGGAGTATCGTTCTTACTTCGTGTGTAGTTGGGGATGCAATCGTGTTGCGATTGATACTGCTTGACTTTCCACTGTGTGATGTGTTTGATTTGTGATGCTTGAATATGTCACGCACAATCATCATCATAAACACACTTTGCTTGCTAGTAATTTGAGTGTTTCGCACTTTCGCCTCGCTACCAAATGTCTGAAATTCTTTGAGGTTTTGAAGGGACAGGTCTTCGTTCAACTCGTCGAATGTATCACATATTCTACCCACATGTATTGGTCATTCTTCGTAATATGTGGGTTCAATGAACTCCTCGTCGTCCCTGTCCTTGTTTGGGTTATCATCATTATTAGGGGTGGACTCGGGCCGGGCCAACCGGCCCGGAACCGGACCGGCCCGCTACTGTGCGGGCCCGGCCCGGCCCGGTGAACCGGTTCCGGGCCCGGTGGGATGGCGGTTCGGGCTCGGGCCCTTCAAAAGGTGAACCGGCCCGGCCGGTTCGGGTCCGGGCCGGTCCAATTTTTTTTTGATTTTTTTTTAAGTTTTTGGGCTGGGTTGGGTATTTTGGGCCATTTGAGGTGGTTAGGGTTGGTTTGGGGGTGAGGGGGAGGGTTGGGGGTTAACTAGGAAAAGCCAAAAAAAAAAAAATAGAACCGAGGCTCGGTCCGGCCCGGACCTCCCCTTCTTGAACCGAGGCCCGGCCGGGCCCAAGCCCGAACCGGAACCGGTCCATGCCTAATCATTATCTTGAGAACTGCTCCCATCTTTAGAAAAGGAAAGAGCGTTATAATCAAGATCATCATCATTATTCGAAGCATCATGGGGCACATTGATATCATCGTTGACTGGGAAGTGCCTTGTAGGGATGGACCGGGCCCAAGCGGGCTTTTTTTGAAATGTTGGACCCGGAACCGGCCCAGGTAAGTACCGGGCCTGGGTCGGGCCGGGCCACCGGTCGGATATCGGGTCGGGTCGGGTCGGGCTTTTTTTAAAAAATTACTTCAACAATTTCTGGACATAAAAAAGTTAAAGTATATTTATTTGAAATATGTAGTACAATTAGGGGTGGACCGGTTCCGGTTCGGGCCCGGTTCGGGCTTGGGCCCGGGCGGGCCTCGGTTCATGAAAGGGGAGGCCCGGAACTGGCCCGGGTAACCCCCGGGTCCGATCCGGGCCAGGCCGGGCCTCGGTTCTTATATTTTTTTGTTTGGCTTTTCCTAATTAACCCCCAACCCTCTCCCCTCACCCCCAAACCACCTCAAATGGCCCATCATACCCAGCCCAACCCAAAAACTTAAAAAAAATTCAAAAAAAAAAATTGGCCCGGACCGGGCCCGAACCGGCCGGGCCGGTTCACTATTTAGGAGGCCCGGCCCGTCTACCTCACCGGGCCGGGTGGCCCGAACCGGGCACCAACCGGTTCACCGGGCCGGTCCGGACCCGCACAGTAGCGGGCCGGTCCGGTTCCGAGCCGGTTGGCCCGGCCCGAGTCCACCCCTAAGTACAATTGAGAATTGTGAAAATTTAACATGAAATTACTGAAGGGTTGGCCAGTTGCAAACCTCGATATTTGTGTTTACTTCCCCTTGCCTTTGTCTGTTTTCGCATATGCCGCGGGATGCTTGGCCTTAAGATGCCTTACGGTGCTATCATATCCTTGTGAAATTCCCAAGCTATACTCTTTCCTTAATGGTTGCAAGTTGCGTACCATTTCTCGGTTTGTGGGTCTTTCCTCTTTTTAAAATTATTTTCCATAATGAGAGATTTAGCTTTGTTACCGAGTTGGGATGAACCACCCTCGTCCTCTAGCACTTCCTCATCGTCCGGGCTGCCGTGACCCTCATCCTCGGCCGTCTCCGGATCCCCCTCCTCCGCATCATCATCCTCGACCTCATCTTCAACCTCGGGGATGTCTTGTTGTTGGTAAAAGTGCGGATCTTGTTTTTCCAATAGTTGGGCTAGTTGATGGTCGGTCATCGCATCCGCATCTCTCCGTTGGTAATCCGTTTCAAAATCATCTCGGCTTTGAGAAGAAGACCCAGGCCGTCCTTTATATTTGCATGAAATAGGATGATTTCTCGCAATCTCCTTCTTTCGGTTACGGTTGAGGTTACTCATATCTACAGAAGCTCTACCACGTTCCATCTTAAAATGTAACAAATATTAAATTCTAACAAATATGTTAATGTGAGTACAAACACAATGCAAATAAAACAGTGTAGTAAAATTAACTAAAATTGCAACTACTTTTATATTTTAATCTAACAAGTGTAGTTTAATTAATTAAAATTAGAACTAGTAGTGTTGTAAAATTAACTAAAAATGCAACTACTTTTATATTTTAAACTAGGGAAAACTGTCAAACAGGTCCTCGAACTTTCATAAAAAAGTCAATTAAGTTCTTCTATAGAAGACTTTGTCCGGTCATCATGATTTGGGACGGTTCCCGGTAGAATTTTTTGATGAAATTTTTTGAGCATCTTATTCACCAAGTCTAGTTTACTCATATCAAATTTCAGTTAAAAATTCAATCAGGAACTCATTCAAATTAATTCTTGAAGATAACTGCGCATTTTTGCGTTCTCGAATTAATTTGAATGCGCTCCCGATTCCCTTTTTAGCTGAAATTTGGTATGAGTAAACTAGACTTGATGAATAAGATGCTCAAAAAATTTCATCAAAAAATTCCACCGGGAACCGCTCCAAATCGTGACGATCGGACAGAGTCTCCTATAGAAGGACTTAATTGACTTTTTTATGAAAGTTCGAGGACCTATTTGACAGTTTTCCCTTTAAACTAACAAGAGTAGTTTAATTAATTAAACTGTGAACTAGTTTTATATTGTAACTAAAAGTGCAACTACTTTAATTAACTAGTTTAATATTCGAACTACTTTTATATTTTAATCTAACAAGTGTAGTTTAATTAATTTACCATGCTAACTACTTTAATTGACAAATGCAAATACATTAATAAGAAATCTAGCAATAAACTAATACAAATGTTTATAAATGTAACAATTCACAAGTGTAGATATAATAATTGTTTAACTAATATATAATATAATGTTTATAGTATATAATATATAAGTATATTACTATAAGATGAGTAATACACTTATATTTATTACTTTAATATATATAAGTATATATTAAGTAGATGTAATATGTAAATATAAGTAAATAACAATAATATATAAGTATATTACTATAAGATGAATAATACACTTATATTTAATACTTTAATATATATAAGTATATATTAAGTAGATGTAATGTGTAAATATAAGTAAATAACAATAATACTCCGTAATAAGTAGATATTAAGTAGATATGAAGTATATATTAAGTAGATAATAAATATATATTAAGTAGATAATAAATTTTATGAATATAATATGTGTATTTATAAGTAGATAATTATAAGTAGATATAATAAATAATATATCTACTTATAAATATATGTATAGAGAATTAGAGATGATTAAGATGTAAGAGTATTAGATAATAGAGAGTAGGAAGAATTGTAAAAGATGTGTAGCAAAATGCATAGAAAAATAGGAGTATTTATAGTTTTTTTGTAACCCCCACCCCGGACCCCCTCCTGGCCTCCAACGGCTATAGAGCCGTTTAAGGATTGTTTTCCCAATGGCTAGGAGGCAATAATAAACCTTTTAATTTTTTTTAAAAAAAATAGATCCATTGGCTCGGGCCGCACCGGTTCTCTTAATTGTTGACCCGTACCCGCCCCGCCCCGCCCCAATCCTCGGTTCGGGCCTAGGCCCGGAACCAGTTTCACATAACCGTGCTGGTCCGGGCTCGCATAGTAGCGGGTCAGGCCGGTTCACGGGCTGGGTTGTCCGGGCACGATCCATCCCTAGTGCCTTGGATGGGAGGACGCCAAGAAGTGCGTGGTTAAAATGGATTAACCATTTGCATCTTTTCGGCATTGATGTATATCTCGAATCGTTCGTATTAATTGCGGGCAATTTGTAGAAAATAGATCCATGATTGGTCGTCGTGGATAGGCCACGACATGCAGGCAACACAAATTCCATCTGAATTATATGTGGGAAATTTTCCATGAATGGTTTTCACATCATATAAACCATCACGGGACATTTCTTGCAGAATGCACTCACATAGTGTTGCATATGGAGTATGATCACTTAAAAAAGTACAGTGAATCTGCTATAAATGTGTATGATAACTTAATCGATCAAATTGGTCGCTATAAATGTGTACAATGAATCTGCTAGTGTCTGACCAGTTATGCCGACAAACCCACCTATATTTAACGACTTATAAGATGAATCATATTTACCCTAATAGAGTATAATGTAATATATTACATTGTAGAAGTTTACCTAGCACCGTCTCATATTTCATACAATATCTAAATATCACTAATTACCACATATTTAGAATACAATATTTAACACTAATTACATTTCGTAATTGATGGAGTCTAATCCAACTGCGAGAGCTATATTTACGAGAGCATATGACACAACAAATATTTATAAACCCTAGGTACTAGTATTCTAAGAGAAAACTGATACATTAAATGTTATTAATTGAATAAGAGTCCGGTAATGCCTTGGTCGTTGTGCAATGATTGCTTCTCTTAGGTTCACGTTTCTTCTGTTATTCCTGCCTGCTGTCAGATAGCTACGCACGAACGATAGCCTGCCACATAAGCCCTAGTAAGAGTCTGTATAACACCCCGGCCTCGCAGGACCCGAGGTAACTACTCTAGACCAATAGTACTATCCTCACAAACCGCCACTAGTCTTTCCCGCGCACTTTGTCCTCACTCATGCGCACCCTGAGAAACTTCCCAGGGGGGTCACCCATCCCAAGACTTCTCGCGTGCAAGCACGCTTAACTTTGGAGTTCTTGGCTAATGAGCTCCCTTAAAAGGAGATGCATCTTGTTGGTATGAGTAGTACTATTAATCTATTTAAATTAAATCTCAAATGTTACAATCACCCCCACTTAGGAACGCAACGTCCTCGTTGCACCCATAAACCAATCTCAAATCTCAATCAAATCCCAGAATCTTCCCCCGCTAAGTGCCTGCCCGATATCCAACGGGTCAACACACTGTCACAGGGTTGCTCTGATACCATCTATAACACCCCGGCCTCGCAGGACCCGAGGTAACTACTCTAGAGTCTAGACCAATAGTACTGTCCCCACAAACCGCCACTAGCCTTTCCCGCGCACTTTGTCCTCACTCATGCGCGCCCTGAGAAACTTCCCAGGGGGTCACCCATCCCAAGACTTCTCTCGTGCAAGCACGCTTAACTTTGGAGTTCTTGGCTAATGAGCTCCCTTAAAAGGAGATGCATCTTGTTGGTATGAGTAGTACTATTAATCTGTTTAAATTAAATCTCAAATGTTACAGTCTGACCTTGCTAGAACTCCGCCCAGGCTCGAGGTCTGTTGTCCAGTCTGGCCTGGTTGTGGATTCCTTTCGTGGGTGAGATTCCTAGTTAGGCTCAGCGGCTGATTAATATTAATCTCGTTTATGGGTTGACCCCGTTGAGGGCTTAATCCCGTTAAGGGCTGATCCCGTTTATGGGCTTTATTATAAATTCACATTTGGGTCATGACCGTAGTCCATGGTACCATCAGTAATTAATAGTCTAATTAACACTTATATATTGATTGAGTTTAGTAAATATTTCATAAAAATATTAAGTGAAATTAAAATCAGTCTCTTCATAAAAGTTAACGCTAATACATTTCGCAAATATATAGTTTAATTAAAATTAGTCTCTTTGTAAAAATTAAAACTAATTATAGACTAATATTTCATAAATTAAGACTAATTATAGACTACATTCTACACCAAAATAGAAAAGATTTCTACAAATGAATTGTGAAGAAATTATCAAGAAGCAAGGTTAAAGGGACTAATATTTGGTAAGTTTCCTATTTCACTTTTTTAGAATCTAGGTAAATTAGTAAATTTGCACATACGTATTTGGTAAATTTACACTAATCTTTCCTATTTGGTAAATAGACTAATATTTGGTAAGTTTCCTATTTCACTTTTTTGTATAGGTACATATTTTACAATTAAAAATTAACACTATTATAGACTAATTTCATTCTTAAGTAACACAAATTAAATTATTTACTAAATTAAACTAAAATGATTTAGGAAAAACTTACTTGGGTTAGATGATGGCCGAAATATGAAGAGAGGGAGAAATTGGAGCGGTTAGATGAGGAATGATGTATGAATTGTGGTGGATTCTATAGAACAGATTCGCTAAATCTGTTCCACTAAATGACGATCCGAGCCATCTTATTCTGACCAATAGGAGCTTGGACAGATTTGCCAAACTTGTCCAACTTTAATATTTATTTTCCACGTACAGATTCGCCAAATCTACTCAATTCAATTCCGATCTCCACCCTTACATGGCAATCCAGGATGACGATCCATGCCTACAAATATTGACCAATAGGAGCGCAAACATACTTGCCAAATATGTTCACAAATATATTAATTTATTGTAGACAGATTCGACAAATCCGCTCAAGTAAAAGTCGATCTGCCCCGACTCATCGAGGTCGGGACCAAGCACAAGACGACGAATTGACAAAGGACAGAAGAGCCGTTGAGGCCGACCTCGACCCTCCGAGGTTGGCGGAAACACCGAGCTCAGGAATCACCCAAACAAGGCAAGATATGAGGCTTAGCTCGGGCACATCGAGCTCGGTACCAGCTTTGACCTGGGGCACTGACGCAAGGTCAACCAAAGTCAACGAGGAAGTCAATGTTGCAAGACAAGATCGAAGACTGAAAACATATCCTTCAGTGATAAGCGCGAGCATCCGAGCTCTGACCTCAGGGAACTCGGGGTCTCACCAAACATTATGGACTTAGACAATACACCGAAGCGAATGCTGCACAAAGTTATCGCCACATCATCATTACCTCCCAACAAATAGAAGGAAGAATATTTCGGATAATACATGTGCAACTGCATGTGTATTCCGATACAAGTTTGTTACATTCAGTTCCAATTAGTCAGTTGTCCCAGTTATCTCTCCAATCACCTTTTCACGTGGCAACACTCCATTAGATAAGTTTGTTTAGTCTCTTAGACAGGAAAGACACGCGTCCTCTCCACAATAGAATAACATCTTTTTTACCTGAGTACCAAGTGTTACTCCTTTAGTATAAATATCATTTTCCAACCCGTGGAAAGGGATCCGCAATTAGACTCTCATGTTGTTACTCTGCTAACATACTTACTTGATCTCACTTAGCTTTTAAGATCTTCTCTTACAATATTTTCCGGATTCTGGCTACCCCAGGGTTGATGATCCATCACACAATTTTCAATTTCTTACAAAATGGAGGTATTTTATTTGTAAAATTTATATTCAAAATTTATCCGAAAATTTTGGTTGTACCAGGCGGCTCCAATTTATTTCTGCTTATGTCTTTGTTAGGAAACGATGAAGTATTTGCAACAAGCCAAAAAAAGGATGAAAAAGTTATAAAAGACGGTACAATAATGTATATAAAGAAATTGGTCAAATGAATACTCACTTTTGTACACACATTTGTACCCACATCACTATTTTGTTTGTGTACAGAAGCATTTGGGAGATAAATGTTGTCTTGTACTTAATTTGTATTATTATTATTATTACTAGTATTATTACTATTATTATTATTATTATTATTATTATTATTATTATTATTATTATTATTATTATTATTATTATTATTATTATTATTATTATTATTATTATTATTATTATTATTATTATTATTATTATTATTATTATTATTATTATTATTATTATTATTATTATTATTATTATTATTATTATTATTATTATTATTATTATTATTATTATTATTATTATTATTATTATTATTATTATTATTATTATTATTATTATTATTATTATTATTATTATTATTATTATTATTATTATTATTATTATTATTATTATTATTATTATTATTATTATTATTATTATTATTATTATTATTATTATTATTATTATTATTATTATTATTATTATTATTATTATTATTATTATTATTATTATTATTATTATTATTATTATTATTATTATTATTATTATTATTATTATTATTATTATTATTATTATTATTATTATTATTATTATTATTATTATTATTATTATTATTATTATTATTATTATTATTATTATTATTATTATTATTATTATTATTATTATTATTATTATTATTATTATTATTATTATTATTATTATTATTATTATTATTATTATTATTATTATTATTATTATTATTATTATTATTATTATTATTATTATTATTATTATTATTATTATTATTATTATTATTATTATTATTATTATTATTATTATTATTATTATTATTATTATTATTATTATTATTATTATTATTATTATTATTATTATTATTATTATTATTATTATTATTATTATTATTATTATTATTATTATTATTATTATTATTATTATTATTATTATTATTATTATTATTATTATACTATCTCCGTTCCACTAACATTGAGACATAAGGAGGTGACACAATTATTAATAAAAGTAAATTTATGTGGTTAACATCAAATTGATAAAATAAGAATAAATTAAGAATGATTTAGAAACACATAAATTTTATCAAATTTGATATAAGATAATTTTAGTGAAACAAATCGAGTAAAAAGATGAGTGGGACGGTGACAATACTACGTGTATAATACCTGGTTAGTGCAATGATCCACAAATTGCTGCGACAACATTCCCTGCTACTAGCCCATGTTGCTTTTCCTTTTATTTCCATTTTACGAAGAAAAAAACAACGGAATTATGGGGGCGGAGAGAGATATTTTGATCAATTAATTAAGAGCGCAATAATCTTTGTTAATTAATTTGGGAGGATGGAAATGAGAGTTGGAATGTGTGGCTAGATAAGGTTTCATATTTGTTTATATTTTATACTCCCTCCATCCCTTAAAACTTTGTCATCTTTCCTTTTTGAACGTCCTAACAAACTTTGTCACTTTCTCTTTTAATAAATTATTTTGTGGTTTTTGTTATTTCTACTAGTGCAGTAGAATGACAGTAGGCTCATACACCCGTGCGCACCAGAGGCCGAACCTTATTGCAGGTTCTGTGACCTCCGCTCGATCGCTGCGGAGATTCGAACCTCGATCCATTGATCCAAATTTCCAATCACTCGACCAACTCAGCTACCCGTGCGGGTTCATTTTTTCTTTTATTAGAAAGATTTAATGATTCATAGTATTCTTTTCTCATCACACAATTTAAACTTTCACAATCTACATTCAAAGTCGATCAAAATCAAACGACAACGTGAATACCATAAATCATTGGTGTCAAACACGCAATTAGGAATTCACGAGTCTAACACTAAGCTCTAACAATACTTTTATCATTGCAAGGCGCATTTGGTGACCAATATTTTTTATTTATCATCATTATGAGTCAACTTTTTATCAAATAAGTAACACCAAAGTTATTTTTATAGCTATTTAAAAAAAAGATATTTTTCTACCGAAGCAAAAATAGGAGTATTTTAGATACTTTTAATGTTATTTTGCCTTTATTTTTTTATAAAATGCTCCCCCTTCTCGGAAAACTTATTCAAATTTGACTTGCACGTACGATAAAAATAAAGTAATACGGAGTAATAATTTAGAAGGAGAAATAATTCCACCACACATTTATTATTGGGAGATTTCCCAAAATATGAGTAAATGAAGTTTGAAATTCCAAAATAGGAAAACTATGTTTTTATTCCCGAAATAGAACTAACATGATAATATTTACTGTCATCTTGTAGACGTGACTGCCAAATAGTTGCAGTACAGTGTATTTAACATGACAGTATTAATTATAATTATAATTAATGACGATATTTTTCAATTATAGCAGTATTTTTCATACATGGCAATAACAACTACTATTTCAGGTTGAAAAACATAGTAGTCCTATTTTGGAATTCCAAAACTCATTTAGTCCTATTTTGGATCATTTCCCTTTATTATTCTAATTAGAAATGACAGTCTTTTCACATTCAACCAACTTTAAACGGTTGAAACAATTTTAGTATTACCAAACTGTTCAATCTCTTCTAGAGGTTTATTTACCTTTTCATTTCAACAAATATTAATTTGTAGGACTCACTAAACTAATGAGCATGTTAACTCATGTGAAACTAAATAATGGGTTCTACATATTAACTATTTCAATATATGGCAATTCCTCTATATTAGTTTAATGATGTACGGTGTACTTATTAAACACATGTATTCAATATAAATATCTCATTGGGGTGTTTGACAATTGACCGTTGGTTGTTAGCTGATTGTGTTGACTGATCCATAATAACGAATTATGTTAGCTGTTTTGATTGGCTGATATTATTAGCGGTTCGTAAAATCGTGTTTGATTAAATGACCGTTTATAATCAGCTGATAACTTGTTAAATGACTATCAAGAACATCAAATAATTTTATAGCTTCAATAATAATAATAATAACAACAACAACAACGTTGTTGTTACTACTACTACTATTACTACTACTATTATTATTATTATTATTATTATTATTATTGATGTTATTATTTTGAGATAAAAAGGTACATACGGAGTAGTATATATTTTAATATATAATGCACAAAACATGAACCTTCTTCATACGACTTTAAAAAATGATTGAAAAGAATATTTAATTTTAGGGAAAATGGAAACTAATAATCCAACTTTTTAGCGGTCTTCTTACAATAGTCCCACCTTTTGATTATTCAGGAATACTCCAACCTTTGCACCCCATCTTCATTCAATGGTCCCTGACCGGTTGATGATCTGCTATTCCAAGTTATTTTCTTATCTTTGCAATATATTATACCATAATCTGACCTTATGGTCACATAATGTTTTGAAAAGATAATAAAATAACTTGAAATAGCAGGGAGAAATGGTGCTAAATAGGAGCTTAACTTCCCGTATGTAATTAAATAAGACATTGACTTTTTTAACTCCTAAATAGGACTTAATTTTAAGAAGTTTCCAAAATTGCCCCTGTTTCCTAAATAGCCACCCGTGTCTTCATCTCTTAGCAGCTCGGTCTCAATTTACTTTGGCACTTGACGAAGGGAAAACAGACTGCCCTCCTTCGGTTTGGGTAGAAAACGACAGCCTGCTACGGACTCCGGCGGTTTCCCTCCGACGTCGCTGATAGTCCGGAAGGGAAGCCTCAACTGTTGCGCAGTCCGTTAGTTGTTCTCCTCCGTCGTGCGACAAAGTTTTCTGGAGCAGGCAATTTCTTTCCGACGTCAAGTCCGGCAGTCCGGCGTGAGGTCGGTCCACAAGCTTCTACCACAGGAAACGTTTGTTCAATGAGAGTCCTGCCTCCCGAGTTCTCCCCGACCTGCGCTTCTACTCTTGACTCTTCTTCTACAACAAAATCATATAACCTAGATCAGATCTGAAGCCACGAAGCATAAAGATGCCACAGAGTCAGTGTCGGTGGACGGCACACAGTCGGCATCGGTGTACACGACGGTTTACCTTTAACGAACGTTGTGCACAACAACGCTTAATGGAAAATTAGTCCTATATATTTACCTTCTGCGACTATGTGGCTTCCGTAGTTCAGGGCTCCAGGATCAACAACATATGCACCCTTTAAAAAGTTTATGCTGGTAATTTAGAAAGGTCTAAAGGAAATATTGGACTTGATTCTGTATTTTGATGTCCAACATCCATCCTCATTCGTTATGTTTACTCCGTGTGTTATAACATTGTTATAAATGTTTGATTCCACTTTCATTGTTATTTTTACGACATTGTTATTAACATTTTTATGACATTGTCATTGACATTCATATGACATTGTCATTGACATTCTTATGACATTGTCACTGACACTGGTTTCTATTGACATTCTTATGACTTTGTCATTGACATTCTTATGACATTGTCATTGACATTCTTATGACATTGTTTTTTATTGACATTCTTATGACATTGTCATTGACATCTTATGACATTGTCATTATTACAATGTCATAATATGTAATATTGACATCAGGCCTAGGATCTTTGGAATGTGTTCATCAGTTATACTCTGTAATAGCATTATAAGGGTCAATGACTAAAATGAATCAAAAAAATAATGATTAAAAAGTTAATATACAAATTCAACAAGCACAATAAATTGAAAAATTAACAATTTGAAAGGTCTCTCAAAAAAACAATTTGAAAAGGAAATTAGATAAAACCAAAAGAAAGTTTAAGCCGGAAATTAGATAAAACCAAAAGAAGTTTGACGGAAACAAAAGTAGAAGGAACTACGGGCACAATCGACGAAAACAAAAGTTTAAGCCGGTAAAAATTGAAAGGACATCGGCCGAAGAAAAGAGCTGAGATCGGTGAAAGCAAAGAAGAAGAACTCAGGGCCCGCCGGCTACTACTCCGACAACGACCAGCGGCAGACCACTTCGGCAATGAGCTGGCAGGACGGTAGTGAAAATCGCACATCTCCAATAGGCACCGACGAGAAGAATTACTCCAGGTGTTCTCTAATGATCTTCCTCTTTGATGGCATAAGAGGAGTGGTGTTTGTGGGGAAAGAAGAAGAAGACCCGGTGGTGAACTGAGTAGTGAGGGTATTGATGTATACCAAGCTCTGTTTCTGCTTCGTCAATTTCCCTTCTAGATGTACATGGAGCTCTGTTTCCATATGTTATTGGGCCATTGACAGCTGTTGTACGTGTAAAGGCCACAAGTAGGAGTGGACTCAGGCCGGCCCAACCGGCCCGGAACCGGACCGGCCCGGAACCGGACCGGCCCGCAACTGTGCAGGCCTGGACCGGCCCGGTGAACCGGTTGGTGCCCGGTTCGGCCACCCGGCCCAGTGAGGTAGGCGATTCGGGCCCGAGCCTCCTAAATCGTGAACCGGTCCAGCCGATTCGGGCCCAGTCCGGGCCTTTTTTTTTCTTTTTTTTTTGATTTTTTTTTTAAAAACCGAGGCCCGGACCAGACCCGAGGTTACCCGAGCCGGTTCCGGGCCTCCCCTTTCATGAACGAAGGCCCGGACGGGCCCAAACCGGAACCCGTCCACCCCTAGCCACAAGGGTATTTATGTCTCTTACATTAAAAGTTGGTCCTATTTAAGGGTTAAAAAGTTTGAAGTCCTATACGGGTTCCTGGCCTACGTTTTAATCCTAGACAAGTCTTTTTCCCAATAGCAGGTCATAAACCGGTCAGAGACTATTGAATGAAGATGGGGTGCAAAGGTTGGATTATTCCTGAATAATCAAAAGATGGAACTATTGTAAGAAGACCGCTAAAAGGTTGGATTATTAATTTCTATTTTCCCTTAATTTTATTAAATGCATATATTTTTCTCTTGGATGTGTAAGGAGCCTGGGAGAGTGGGAGGAGGTAGATACGGAAAAAGGGGCATGGGCTGCATGGGTAGTAAGGGAAAGTAAGAAACAACCGAATCTAAACGCCACTTTTATCAACATTTTCATGTTTGGCTGTTTGGGACAAAAAACTGAATGAAAAAACCAATTAACCAAACACTTCCATTACCTGATTATTTGATCAAGAGGCCAAATAGTGATCAAATCAGCCAAAAAATGGCTGATAGACCAATAACCAAACACCCCCATTGTCTATATTTCACTCTTTACTTTTTGTGGATCCATTTTAGGGATTGTGAATAGAATTACTCATTTTTTATATTGACGCCTGATTTTGGGGCAAGGTTGACCTTGCTGATCAGGTCCGTTTTTTTTAAATATAGATATAAGCCACTCACTAACTCGAACGAGACAACACAACAGTTGCCTTTATTATAACAAGTATAATGAGGTTCCAACACCTCCCATCTTTTATAGGATGGGGGGAACATGCCAACACTTTTTATTCAGAATTGAAGTACACCCACTGCAATGTCTGATTATAAGATGGATGCAAATGCAAATGGGGGGGGGGGGGGGGGGGGGGGGGGGGGGGTTCAAGAGAGACACGAGTAAGCCAAAGCTTTTTCCTCAGCAAGTTCTTCAGCACTCAAGTCCATCTTCTTTCTTGAGAAGTCATCGATGGGAAGACCTTCCATTACAAAAGAGATAGCAAAACTCATGTTGCCAGACAAAGAAAACAACACAACAGAGGCAAGAGCGAGAGAAGCTTATTAAGAGGTCTCATGTTGCCCTCTCATGCTGAGACTGATTATCTTTAGCAACATTTGTTAAAAAGGTCTAATTTCTTTCAAGATGCTAGTTTTCATGTAGTTTGCCACAAGGAAAATGCCATAAAAATAACAAACAGGTCAGATATGATAAACTTGGTTAAATAAGGAAAATGATCTTGTAAATATATAAGTAGGACTTTATGAAATTTTTATGTGTATTTTGCCGTAACTAAAAAGTTATATACCCTGACAAAATAAAACTCTTTTGGGATGGAGGAAGTACTTTTTAGTGTATAGCTGAAAAAAGTAATACTCATTTTGCTAAAGAAAAGTCTCCCTGCTCGTGATAAAAACAAAATTAAAAAGGCTAATTGATTATGGAGTCATGGCCTTCACAAATTTTGCTAAGAACAGTATCAGTTGCCTCATGTTAAAAATAATTGATTTCTCAGAATCTATGATATATATCCCTAAACTATTTGTCAAGAAAGCAATTATAAACCTCAAATCTTTTTAGAATAATTAAACAAAACAATTAGAAATTTGGAACAAATATACCCTTAAACTATGAAATAATTCCAAATTGATACCCAAAATAAAAGTAGTGGACAAAAATGTGACCTAGTAACTTTTAGTGATTGACTGATTGTAATTCTATTCAAATTTTACATCATAGTAACTATAATACTTACACATAGTAACTTAGTCACATTTTTGTCCATAGATTTTTTATTAGAAATATTTTAGGAAAAACTTCCTCAAACTATATATTAGAGAACTTGTATTCCCTTTATGTTCAACTGTTGAGAGTATAAGTCTTCCAACTTCACAATTATGTGTTAAATTGTTCCATAAAAAATTCAAGGGGTATATAAATTCTCTTCCAACATATAGTTCCAGAGAATATTTATTCTTTATCCCTACCTTTTCAATAAAGAGTAAATTCAAGTTTATACAAGGAGGAAACACATATAACGGCAATAAAATAACATCAGTAACATGTAATAACTAAGATATCTATACTCACCTTTGACAATGCACCATTTTCCATTCTTGCAAGTAACTGGGAAGGAGTAGATTAGTCCAGCTGGGACATCGTAAGAGCCATCTGAGTATACACCCATTGACACCCAAGTTCCCTGGATAACAGAAAATGGCAGAAAAGTTGGCAGAAAATCAAGCAACACGATTTCAAGTCAAATGTACATAGAGCCCATTTCGTAGGCTTGCCCCCTATACACCCTTGAGATGGGACTCCACCCCGGACCCTCACCTTGTGGGGATGCCAATGCGCACCAAGCTGCCCTTTTTTAACAGCTTTATGGGTCAGTTTTCACCATAATGATTTAGCTATTGTTATTACATGGGTTGAAGATGAATATAAGGTTGTGTACTTGTGTATGAGTTACTTTTGGCTGAAATGATAAGTTTAGCTTTATTAAGGGAGATTCTTTATATATTTATGCAAATAAATATTTTTAAAAATCATTTTTTAATTCATTCAGGCATTCACCAAACTCGAGCAATTCAGACATTCTTCAGCAAATTTAGCAAATTCAACCACTTCAATCATTTTACATCTGACTAAATGGACTCAAAATTTTAGTAAAAGATCATATAATACCTCTGGAGTTCCAAGCACCCAATCACGTATGTGGTCACAAGCTGCACTAGCAGCAGAGAGAGCACTAGAAAACTTTCTAGCCTTGATAATGGCAGCACCACGCTGCTGAACAGTAGTTATGAACTCACCATTTAGCCTGAATGAGTTCTACCGCGCATTAGCAGAAACATTATAAATTGATAACAGCAGAAGCTCTTATGAAAAAAAACAAGCAACTTATACATATAACTACTATTTTAGTTCTTTACCATTCATCATTTCCAACAAGCTTACGGACAGGGTTTTCTCCAGTTGGCGTTTTGACAGCAGCATGATTAACATCAGGATACTGTGTAGATGAGTGGTTTCCCCAAATGACTACATTTTTAACCTCACTTACATGAACGCCCAATCTCTCTGAGATTTGTCCAAGGGCTCTGTTATGGTCCAATCTTGTCAGACAAGTAATGTTTTCCTTAGGTATAGATGGTGCAAACTCCTTCAGAATCAATGCGTTTGTGTTTGCAGGATTAGCAACAACCAACACCTGAAGGAAAAAATAAGAAAAATAAATGAATATCTACTGTGTTCCCAAACTGATATGTAGCAGAAAAATAAAATCAACGGGGTAAACCGTTGCCCAGATAATCAACGATAAAAATACCGTTGCCCAAAGCCAAAAGGCTAAACTCTAACTTCATTCCCAGATAATAAGAATGAACCCTGGCGAGGGGTATAAATAGCCTTCTACAAGAAACCCTAATCAAGCCCATATTAATTAAACCCTAATTAAGCCCAAATTAACTCAACTAACTACTCTACTAATAATAGGCCCAAACTAAAACATAACATTAACTTAATAATAATAATTAAACTATAACGACAGCCCTAACTCAGCCCACGGAAGTGAGCCCAAGCCCGGTCCCGCCCCACGCTCTTCCCGCTCTCTATCACAAACACAACGGGAAACAAATTTTCTAGATACAATAGCTACAGAAACAATAGAGCAAAACAATTGATGTTCCAAAAGAATCTAAAAATTGAAGTATGCATTTAGATAATTGTCTCACATATACGCAGTGCTTATTTAATTAGATAATCTCACCTATCCATAATGTGTTCTAAGTATTCATTTAGACAATTGTTGCATATTTGTGCAATGCTAATAAAAAAACACCACACAGAGGGAGGAAGTGTACGTACACAGATATCACACACAATTATAATCTAAAAGAAAATATTCACTATCCTGTCGTTTCAAAAAACTGTATAAAGAACCATAGAAATTACAGTTTTTATCTTTTCCAATCACAAACAATTCGAATATTTGTTGTGAAATGTCAATTCGGAAATAGAGCTATAATCATATCATATGCAAACACAACCATGAACTCGCTCACTAAATGAAAAGCAAAAGAAAGAAAAATATTTATAATGTTTTGAGATTTATGTCTCACTTTGCAGTCAGCAGCAGCATGCTTTTCAAGAGCAGAAGCCTGGGACTTGTAAATAGAAACATTCTTTGACATCACATCTTTTCTCTCCATTCCTTCTTTCCTTGGGAAACCTCCAACCATGACAGCAACATTGACACCAGTACATGCCTCAACAACATTGGTAGTAGCAACAACACCTGCCATGTGGGATAATCCCATAAGATATATCCAGTAAGAACAAAACATAGAAGAATATTCTAGTCAAATCACAATTACAAAAATAACAAAGGTAGCCCAGTGCACATTGGTGTCCTGCAACTGAGTGTCGGGGGAAGGGACTCATGACAATAATAAACACAATAATATTACTTAAAAAACTACATTATATAACAAGCAAGTGACTGTAAAAAAACTAATACAACACTATTACTTTATGATATCAAAAGAACAGCCTCTGTTTATGGTTAAAAAGAGATACATAGTAATGGTGACTCATTGGTATTTATTAACAAAAGAACTGAAGGCAAAAACCTTTAAGAAGAGGGAAGGCAGCATCCACTAATTCCATTTTCACTCCATTCAATGCCTCTGCAGCAGGTTCAATATCAAGCATGTGGAGAATAACAGGCTGGTCAGGACCCAACATTACACCCCTAGCAACCATGGGGACCAGAGCATACCCAATTTGTCCTGAAAAACAGACAACCTTTATTTTTAAGACATAGGAAAAATCTTCTTGAATCCATGGATGGATAAAACACTATGTTGTAAGCCAATTCAACAATGCGTATAGCATGAAACTATTGCATAGAATGAGCAGTAACACATACAGAGAGAGAGAGTGTATTCAAACTACAATGAACTTGTTTTTAGCATGGTCGCAGATGGTTCAAAAATTAATAGCTCCAGTAGCACCTTATCTGATCTTTAAACACTGGCATTTATTAAAAGAATCAAGCACAGGGTTGAATATCACAAATGCACTAAATTAAGCTACTACTTTACTTGTGATTTGTGAAAGAAATTCACAACCACAAATTCAGAAGCAGATTGAGAAAAGACCGGAAATGCAATCTCAGCATTACAGTTCAAAAAGGAATCAGGCATTCAGATCCATACTTTGAAGTCTACCAACACTGTTATAATAGAAACACGACAAAACAAAGAAATAAACAGATTTACTCGATTCACCAATGTTGTGTTGCTTACATCCACATGGTGAAGGAGATCCATTTTTATTAGAAGGCATATTGTTTGTATTACAGATTACATCGAGAGCTTGTCAGGTATATATAGCGCTCTAAATATACCCTAAACAAGACTTGGGCAAAGTCACAGCCATAGACCAAATGAGAATCACCCTGCACTGTCTATCCGGGGCGGAGATCAGGCCAGGGGCGCATTGCCTCCCAGGACCCCGACTTGCTGACAGAGCAGTGGGACCGTTACTAAAGCCAAGTCATGTGATCATATTCAATTCAAGGCATATTAACAAACACTAATAACAGCACAATTCAAATCAGAAGTCAGACATTGAAGCAGTGTTTGCATCCAAGCAACATTCTCCCAAGGAAAGTAATAGGCCAGATAGAGCCATGTTCGCAAAAAGTATCACTCCAAGTGAATAATCACAAGAAAATATTAGCACTAACAGTCTTATCCATCAGTACTCAGTAACATTTGCTACCATGATGCAAGAAACAATAAAGATCTTATCTTACTCCGTAAGATTAAAAGCACAAATAAAAGCACAATAACTGGAACTTGTATTTCTTTCACACAACTTGAAAACGGACACGGAGAATATCGATTATTTTCTATATTACAAACAGTACAAATATCAATCCCCTTTGAGAAAACTATGAACTCCTTACCTGCAGCACCAGTTACTAAGACGCGGATCGGTTCCTTGGCCATTTTCGCTAGAGATCTGATCTTAAATTTTGAAAGAGAGACTGATGCAGACCGAAGTCGATAACAGAGAGAATAGCAAGAGACTTTAGGCCTTTAGCTATGTGCGTTGGAGGCCGAATGTAGTAAACAATTGCGATTTGTTCAGATGAGGAGATAGGGAAGTAATTTCTTATATAGACGGAAGTCGGTAGTTATACTAAGTGAAAAAAATATTCTCAGCCAGTTAAAAAATCAAACATTTGAAATAAAAAAATAATACGTAAGTTTAATAAAGTTCGATGCACACGTTAGAGTTCCATGTGTATTAATACCTATAAAAATCAAACATTTGAAATTTAAAAATAATATGTAAGTTTAATCTGTTTCATAAGTTTAAAAATATAGTGGAGTATCATATGGAATAATATCAATAAAAATCAAAACAATGTTCCTACGAAAGTTAGGAATAAAAACAATTTACAAATAAAAGTTTTTACAAATTTCAGAATAGTTCCTTAAATACAACATTCGTTGTTACATTGGTACTTTTCCCATCTACGTCACATATAGCTATTTTCAAACCCGCATTGTTAGTGACATCTGAAAGCGTAACATTTAACTGTCCATGACTGAAAACGGGGTTTTTCAAGACTAATCCAACATTCGACAACGATTGTCACTGACTCTTATTTATCGTCATAGCATATGAGACAATAAAAGGAAACTGTCTTCTTTCAAACTTGAATGGCAATCTCACATCAGATGGAGTCAAAGACATTCTTGGAGTCAAAACCTTCTCTCCTGCACTCAACCGTGTCAAAACTTTTGCTTCCAAAACATGCTTACCTAATCTAGTAATAACCATCCTACTCCCATTACACAGTCCTTGAGAATGGTCAATGTTCTTCATTAGCATCACTGGTGTTCCAACTTTAAGATGCAGTTCATAATTTGGTACTCTTGAAGCTTCAATTCCATTTAAAAATTCTGGAGTATGAATATCTGCTAAAAAGTCAGAATTTGAATCTGATTTACACGGGCTATCAGAACTAAGGTAGGTTTTCATCTCAGAATCATTTAAGGACAGCATGTAGTCATTGATGGAATCAACAACCTGGAGAGTGGGTGACAATATTGCTCTCTTTTCTAAATAACTGGGATCTTCATGAATAGCATCAAAGGAAGGATAAATGCTTTCAACCATTTTTCCTATAGGATCATCGAAATCTTTTAACAAAAACTCATCTAGAATCTCAATCTCCACAAACCCATCATTTGGTCCTCCCACGGTGCCATCACCAATGCTTGCAATCCATTCAGAAATCTTAATCAAATATTCTGACTGTTCATTAGCTGGTAAATGAAGAAGCCTTAAATTTTTTGTCAAACGCATGACATTTGTATGTTGCCACAAATGGGAAGAATTTATAGATGCATTAACAATATCTTGTCTTGTTCCTTTAGGTATGACAAGAAGGATTTGTCTGAAATCTCCACCAAATACTACTATCTTTCCACCAAAGGGAAATTCAAGACTTCTTGGATTCTGAAACCTCAATATATCACGCAGACTTCGATCGAAGGCTTCAAAGCAATGTTTATGCACCATTGGAGCTTCATCCCAAATTATAAGCTTACACTTGACCAAAAGTTCGGCAAGAGCGCTACTTTGTTTTATATTGCATGTAGAGTCTTCATTCGGATGAATTGGAATTTTGAACCGAGAATGTGCAGTTCGACCTCCTGGAAGTAATAGCGATGCTATACCACTCGATGCAACATTCAATACTATTTCTCCCCTAGAGCGTATGGCAGCGGAAAGAGTCGTCCATACGAAAGTTTTTCCAGTTCCACCGTATCCATACACAAAAAAGACTCCACCCCTGTTTGAATCAACCGCATTCATTATTGTATCATAGACATTTCTTTGCTCCACAGTTAGATTACCCAGCAACTCTTCATGCTCCTTTGCCAATTTCGCTCGATCATACTTCAACTCATCATATACCAATCGATTCGTATTATTTGATACAAATCTATATATGATCAGGACATGGCATGCAGTGGAATTCTTCCAAACTCCTTCCACAACTGCGTAACATCTTTTGAATTTCATACAAAGCATAATTCTTCAATTCTTCATCTGACAGCGTGAGATCTACAATAACCAACTAAAATCAATAATATAAATTTGTATAATTAAAAATTCAAAATGTGGGAAATAATAAAAAATAAAAGCATACCTGGATGATTAAGCATCACACGTTGTTTGTGGAGGATATCTTCTGATAAAAAAACCCAACATTTTTCCCAACCCTCCTCTGGTCTACTTAAACGATCAGCAATTAAGAGAGCAACAAAAAAATTTCGCAAACAATGTGTTGTTGCCCAAAAACTTGCTTCTTTGATTGCATCTATATATTCCTTATCATCGTTTAGTAGACCTAAAGCATAGCAAGCATCATGAAATGTGTCATATTGGACACCATCAACCTTCTTTATATCTTCAAAACATGTTGATCCACGAACAACATTCAAAAGACATCTAAGATAGAATAACTCACCGCAAGCTGGCGGCACATAAAATAGCCTTCCAATGGCAAAATTTCTCTTCCTCGGTACCCACTCTCTAGTAGATGGCTTCCACACAAATTTTATTGGCATTTCGGCATAAGTAAAGTTTCTTGCTTCAGGATATATCTCATTTGCTTTGAACCAAGAGAGAAACATGCTTTCCTTCACACTTGGCTTCTCAAGAACTTCATTTATGGGCTCCAAGTCGTTAAATTAAACAACTTGTTCATTAGGCAAGTGAAAGCTTAATCTCTCCACCCCACCACTTCTGTACTGAATCTCAAATCCTAAAGTTCTTCATGCAGTCTCACATGATGAAATGTATATACAATCATAATACATCTTCACTTCATCCACAATATTCTCTGCATGATCTCCATTGGCACTTTGGTAGAATGTTGCAATGATTCTATCATTTCCTTTATTCACATATTTGAATAAATATTTGATTGATCTAGACTGATTGCACCACTCCACATTTATGTGTGCTGCATATTTTAGCAATAAATATCTATTATGAGGCACGACATATTTGTTATCCAACTCCGCGCCATTTTTTGAAACAGTTCTCCCATCACGCCTTCTCCTATACACAGGATACCCATCTTCATCCAAAGTGGTGTGCTCAACGAATCTTTTCAGAAAATGTTTCGAGCATCTACCATGCAAGGAGACTTCTTTCTCAAATTTCCGCACGGCCCATGCATCATAAATTCCTTCACAGCATTAAAATATTCTGGATCGGTCTCTTCGCGGGGAATTTCGGCTGAAATAACCTTATCAATGTGATCTGTTGTTGCTAGATCTTCACTTTTCTCAAGAAACAACAATATGTGGGCATGTGGCAAACCACGCTTTTGGAATTCAATTGTGTATATAACTACAATATAAATTGAAAAAAAGTCATAATAAGTTGAAAGCTCAATTTCTCGAGAAACTAAATAGCTATTATAATAATATAAACAAAAATTAAATATTACATTTTTTATGTAATTTGTAAAATACCTGCTTTTACAGTTCCAAATATCTTGTTGCGACGGAAATCATTGATCAAACCATCCAATTTCATCTTAAAAACTCTGCAAATAATATCGGGTCGATCCTCTGGTTTGAGATTCCGTTCATCAAGGTAGCGCTGTATTTTTGGGCATTTTGAATTGCACATGAAAGTTATAAATAAATCTGGATATCCCATCCATCTACATATGGCCATTGCATCTTGATAGTTTTGAATCATATATCTTGCTCCACCTACAAATGTAGACGGAAGTATAATGTGCTTCCCCTGTGTGGCAGGATTTGTGTCACCACATAATAAAGCTTCATTCAATCCTTTAAACATTTCACACCTCAATTGCTTTTGATTATTTCGAATATAGCTTAACCTGCTCTATGAGAGTTTTTTTTTGTCTGTGAATCCTAGTCCACAGACAAAAAGTGGCTTGTTTTGTCTGTAGAATTTTTCACAGACAAAACAAACCAGTTTTTGTCCGTGGACTGAGATTAACAGACAAAAAACACTCTCACATACACGGGGGTGTACTGAAGTGTATAAGAAGGTGTACACCAAGAATTGTTGTGTATATATATGCACACACTCGGTTTTTGATGGCATTTAACATTTTTTTATCCACACCATGAACAATTTAACACAAAGTATAACTAGGAATCGTTACATGAAATAACTAGGCCAGTAAATTTATAAGACTATTTTATTTTACTGAAACCTCCATACCGAATAAGACTTGTGGACATCGTATTGTGAGTTTTACACTCATAATTCATAACTATATTACATCTAAATTAATGCTAGCACAAGTATTTAATGGATTTTGCTCATCCCCATTAACTAGAACTATCCAGTAGGAGAGAGATAGAGAGAGGTGGGGAAATGGTGGGGTAGCGAAAAAGGAAAGATTATATTTGAATATTATTTTTAAGGAGAGAGATAGAGTGAAAAAGAAATGGAGAGTAAATGGAGAGAAGGAAATGGAGAGGGGTATGACCCGTATTTAATGCCCATATCTAACACGTAGTAGTATGAATGGGCATCTCATTTAATGATAATGTCTCAAAGAAGTACGATTATTGTACTTACTTGATTATTTCTCAGACAAGGACAATTATGTGGGGTTTATACACCTCGAATTATTGATTCTTCGTAATATCATTTATGATTACTATTATTAGCAATATATTCCCATATTTTGTTATAGCCACATAACAAGTGTATTTAAAAAAACAACAAATATGTTCGTACAACTATTGTCTGATGGTATATACAAAGAGTTCTATTTTCAGAATAAACTTTTTAATTGTAACGCTTAAGGGTGTGTTCACGATTCTGCTAATGGATGTGAATTCATTTTTTTTCAATCACCAGATTTCTACATTTTTATATATGTATACCTTGGAGTACTTTACTTATTAATATAAAATACCATAATATATTATTTTTATAATACAAAAATAATAATTATTGTTGTATTTTTTTATATGACTACTATGTCATGTTCCGTATGACACTATTAACCTATCTATCATATCCAACTTCCTCTATTAATTAATTATTTGTGTGATGAGGAATTTTCACACAACGATTTACAATTTTAATTGACACTTCATACAAGCATATAGATGTACCATGTACGCATCGCCATATGCCATAATGTATAT